ATGCGTCTGCGCACACAGCTTGCCTTCAGGGAGTGCGAAATCAGTCAGGGAGAGGCTGGGCTCTGTATCTGGTTTTCGTGGCAGTCCCGTTTCTCCTGTGAATTCACCCATCGGCCTTCTGGTTTCCCTCACCTGCTTCCTGCAAGCTTCTTTTGCATGAGTCAGCAGCCCTTAGCAAGACTAGCTCTGGGATGCTGATGAGATCCAGTTTCTACCCTACAAGCCTGGCCAGACCCAGACAGTGTACTTACCTGCAAGAACTCTGGGCAGGCACTGTGCCAGGCCCTGCTGACGGCACCCGGGCCCCACGCTCGGCAAGCCGGGGTGTGGTGCAGGTGCCTGCCATCTCTGCTGCAGTCCAGAAAACAGCGGGGCTGAGGTTGGGAACAACAGTGATAAACCCTCAACAAATAACATCCTAGTCAGATCATTCTAGGGGCTGTACAGAGTCTAAGTCACATTGTCTGCATAATGGCCCTGTGAGATAGGGCCTTTTATTATCCCCATTCTATAGATGAGGAACCGGAGGCACAGAGAAAGGAAGTAGCTTGCCCCAGGTCCCCAGCACAGCGAGTGGCCCAGGTGGTTCTCTGCAGCCAAAGCACCTGCTTTATTTCTCCTGTACGTTGCTCATGGGGGAAGTTTCGCACTCCATGAAAATGATAAATGTGTGTACCATTGACCCAGCAATTTCACCTCTAGGAATTTATCCCATTTGTAATAGTAAGAGACAGAAAATAACCCACGTGGCCATCAGTAGGGGACCAGTTAAACAAATTACCAATGTGTCTGTACAGTGGAATACGTGGTGGCTCTTAGAAATGAGGATGGGCTCTGTGTACCCGTAGGGAAAGACCTCCAAGTAGAAAAGTCTGGATGCGGAACAGCTATGGAGTATGTTACTTTTCTGTAAGAAAGGAGGAAAATTTAGAATACACATCCGTATTCACGTGTGCTTGCCTACAGAGACATTAGAAGGATACCCAAAAACTAACAAAAGTTGTTACTCTCCTAGGACGATCAGGGCAGCAGTGGGGGAATGCAATGGCCAAGGGAGAAACTGCACTCAGTACTGTCCACAGTCTTTTTGAAATTTGAATCGTGGGAATGTTTTCCCTGTTCAGAACCAAGCATTCCTACAAAGTACCTGCTTTCAGCACTCCCTGAGTCTCTGTCCCTCCTCTCCTCTTCAGAACTGTCTTCCCAGGGGTGCCATTGTTTGGGTCTGTTGTGAATGATACTCCTCAGGACTGTCGAGGCAGCCCACATCGACAGGTGTTCACGGAGACTTCGTTATACTTTGGGGCTAATGAATTTTCACTTTTTAAGAAAGGAATGGATCCCTGCCTTGCTTAGTGAAAATCTGGAGTCCTGAGGTCCATCTTTTTGAGCATTGTCATTACTCTGTCCCATAAGAAGGTGCACAACGACGGTACAGAGGCAGGTGCTGAGTGGTTGTTGACATCATGGACAGAGGTCAGGGCCTCTTGCCATGTGGGGATGTGGGACAGGGCTGTGGCATCTGCAGAGACTGACATGCACACTGGGAACATGTGTGCCTGGCTTTTTTGCAATTTCACTAGAGGCAGTGGGCACACAGGCTTTGATTTGAGCCTGCCACTGCTCCTCAGAGTCGCATGAACTTGAGCCTCAGTTTCTTCACCTGTAACATGGGGATAACGTAGACCCTGCCTCCAAGGGTTTCTGGAGAGAATTAAATGGGAGAATATGTAGGAAGCATATGGTGTTTTTCCTCTTCTAAGAGCTTGCCGGCAGGACGAGAGTAAACAACTTTGAATAGTGCTTGACACAAAGTAAGTGCTCAGAAAATGCTAGCTGTTACCACGGTTGTATTTATCTGTTTTAGTGTCTTTGATTTATAAGAAAATGAATCAAGATAGGAAATACAGGACCAAGTATTATTTCTCAAAATAGTTGTCCACTAACTTAACAAGAGAAAAAAGAGCCTGTTCAACCAAAAATAATTTTGTAGTTAAAGGCCTCTTGGAATAGAATGTGAAATTTTTTTTTCTTTTTTTTTAAGAATTTAAAGAGATGGCAACTTCTTGTGTAGGAAACAGAGGCATTTCATGCTAAGTCCCTTCTGTACACGTAGGAGGTGAGAAGTTACGCAGCCGCCCAGCGTGGCTTGCTGTGTCATGGTTTGAGGTAAAGTTGCATGCGGCTCCAATGCTGGGGTCCTGCAGTCACAGGGGAGGTCCGGGAGCCCATGGCCCCAGGTAAGGAAAGCACGTCCTGCCAGGAGGAAAAAGGCAAGTGGCTTTGAGAACTGGGGCTTGTTCTCTAAGGTTTCCCAGGATCTTCTGAATGGAATCAATGGTTTGGAACAGTGCTTCCCATCCTTGGCTGTACATTGAAATCACCTGGGGGGCTTTGAAAACACTCCCGGCTACACCCTAGACCTTTATGTCAGAACCTCTGAGGACAGACACAGACATCCACGTATTTTCAAGAGCCCCAGGTGCTCTGCGTGTGCAGCCAGGTTGGAGAGGCACTGGACAGAGGGAGGAGAGAGGCTTGTTGCTGCTTGTGCAGATCCTGGAGCCAAGGCCGGTTTTTGCTCAGAGACCCACTGGCGTATGCCTAAATCGGTGCTTCTCACACTTCCTGGTGTATAAGAATTTCCCAGTGAGGTTATTCAAAGTCCATATTCCTAGTCCTCACCCTCCAAAATATTCTTTTTCATTAGCTCTGTGTGCATTCTCAAAAGTGTCTTCTGACGATTGTCATGTAGGGTGGTCCACACTAGGAGAGGCACCCGGGGGTACCTCTTAGCTTGGGTGGCTTCCCTCATTCCTAGCATTGTGTCATCTCTTGGTGATGTCATTTGATCCCATATTCTTTGACCAGAAATGATCCTTATATTTTTCCATCTCTTTTGCCATATAAAGACAAGGTATGTCGTTCTTTACTGCCCGCATGATGGCGTTATGGGACAAAAGCACCCAAACAGAGGGAAATACTTTCACATTGAAGGTGATTTGGGAGGATTTAGAAAATGAGTAAGAACTGTAATTTTTACCCCCTGCATAATGATAACATTTTCCAACATGTAGGAACAGAATAAATAAAATTTTTGGTACTAGTTTGGGGTTCCAGACTGCCCATCTGTTTTTGTAAATAGAATTTTATTGGAACGCAGCTGCGTCATTTGTTTACATACTGTCTATGGCTGCTTTTGTGCTACAGTGGAAAAGTTGAGTAGTTACGATAGTGACCAGTGACCTGCAAAACCTAAAATACGTTCATCTACCCATCCAGCAAATCTTTCGAACCCACTACATGCCAGGCACTGATCGGGTCGGAAATGTGTCCATGGACAAAACAAGCACAGGTCTGCCCTTATGGACCCTACATTCTAGTTGAATGTCAAATTCTGGTGCTTCCAGGCAGCACCAGGCAGTTCCCATAAATGAGCGAAGCATACTGGTGGTGAGAGGTGGTCGGGGGCGGTAGAGACTGTGGCACACTGGGTAGCATATATGCCATCTCAAGGGGCAGCTACTAATCTGCTCTAGTTGTGTGTTGTCCTGTAGGCTTATGGTACATTTTTGGTACATGTTACATGAAGAAGCAGGAAGTCCAGTTTTTTTTCTTGTGAATTCTCCCAGTTTTTACCTGTTGGTAACTAATTCAGAAAATTTTAAAGCACTTTGTGGGCCGTCGTGGTACAGACCAAACAAAACTGGTCGCAGGCTGGATTCAGCCCGTGGGCTGCGCGTTTTCCCCTCTGGCCTAGGATAGAACGTAGACCATAGTCTTAAGAGTGAGTGGGGATACTGCAGGCTCCCTTGACCCCGAGTGTCAGTTAAGACTCCAAAGGATAAACCGGTCATTTTCCTGTCTCTCACAGAAAGTAAAACTCCCTTCTTTCATTAGAAATGAAAAACAAAAGAAACAGGGCTTAAAATTTGTCCCACCAGATGGCAGCATATTATCACAAGTTAAAGCATGTCCAGGAGGTGACATCTCTTCGTCCCTAATTAACAAGCGTTCATTTAGTGTTTGCTCCTGAAGAGTGTGATGCTAACACCGTCTGTCCTTCCCTCCCCAGGAAAGCTCGTGTATGAGCGCATCTTTTCCATGTGTGTGGATAACCGCAATGTCTTACCAGGTAACGCCATACCTGTTTCTCGAGTGTCATTCTGTCCTCAAGTTGGGATTAGGTTTTTATTGAGGATTCATTAAGACTTGATAAAATTATCAATTTTGGATGTGTTAATAGTATAAAAAAAAACCTTTGAAGATTTCCAATCATCTCAGTCTTCTAAAAACATTAGAAGGTTTCCAAAAGGCCTGTCTAGGAATTTGGACAAGTAATTTGAATCTGCAAGAATGAAAAGATGTTACAGTTAGATTCAGCTGAACTTTCACACCAACTTTTTGTCCTCTGCTGCTTGACATTTTTAATATTTTTCCTTCATATCTTTCTTTCCTAAGAAGCAAATTGTTTTGGAAAAAACAACTTTATATGTATTAAAGAACAATGTCAAATAAATCAATAGTAACTGATGCTTTGAATTCAAAATCCATACCCAAGTGATTTTGCATTAAATTTATTACCAATCGAATTTAAATTCTCAGGAGGTTATAATGGGACAAGTACAGAATGAATTTCTTTTGCCATATAAATGATAATAGTGATATGTCTGGCAATGCAGAACTGTCAGCTGCAGCTTCCATTTTTGTTTTTTTTTTTTATTCCTCTTTTTAAGTCCCAAGCACTGCTGTAAGGAGACATTCTCATCCGTCCAGGCTGGAGCAGCCAGCTTGTTCCACCTCACTCTGGCTCCCTCTGCTCGTAGCAGTGGTACTTCCCCAGGAGATGAAGAGAGAGCGCTAGCAGCAGTAACCCATAATTTGACCCATATTATTTCTTCTTTACTCCTTCCTTCCTCCCATCGTTCCTTCCCTTTCTCCCTCCTCCTCCTCTTCCTCTTCCTCTTTCTCACCCTCTCCCATCTATCTATTCATTTACCTATCTACCTGTCTTTTTAGCACCATTTAATGTACACATTTCTTGGAAAGAAAGAGACAGAGATCTACAGACTTTTAGGTCTAGAAAACCTCTTTGAAACCATCTCGTTTCATTATAGATGGACAAACCCAGTGCAGAAGAGTCAGGGTCTTGCCCGAGGCCCTGCCACCAGCCAGTGAGAGCCTTGCTCTTAGCGCTGCGCCTGCACTGTCTCTTACGGCAGCCACCAGCCACGTGTGGCTCTGGAGCACTCGGGATGTGGCCATTCCAAACTGAGATGATTGAGATGTGCTGTGAATATAAAAAAAAGACCCCAGATTTCAAAGACTTAGTACAAATAGAAGACCCTAAGGTAGCTCACTAATAATTTGTTTATATTGATTACACGTTGAAATGATCCTCTGGAGGAACTGGATTAAAGCATATTAAATAATTTCACCTGTTTTGTTTTACCTTTATCAATGTGGCTCATGTAGTATTTCTAGGGGACCCTCCCCTCCACTGCATCAGGCCTCTGATGATGTTTTTTACCAGCTTTTCCCATGCGCCAGGCGTCTCAAGTGTGGGAGGCAGTGATCCTGGAAAGGCCTTCTCTGCTTGCTTGAGGATTTGGGAAATTTGAGCCCATTTATTTAACTTACACTTGCCAACTTGTACTCCCTGTGCTATACCAACAGTAGCAAACTTCAGCCAGCAGGCGGAATTAAACCCAAATAGGTGTTTTCTTTGGCAACAACAGCATTTTTAAAGAAATTCTTTTTGATACAGGTTTTATTTCTTCCTATTGTTGTACTCAAGCACTTGCAAATATTTCTGTTACCTGCCTAGCCCCCAGAGGCATTTGAGTTTGCATTTTCAGTGACTGTACAAATAACATTTTAGGACCAATTAAAGAAAAATTCCTAATAACTGACTCCCTACCTAAACTCTAAAAGTTCAAAATATAATAAAAGGCTGGTCCTTGTCAAAATAGATTAATTAGCCCTTTTGCCACTAAAATTCTTCCCTCTCTGAATATCTGTTTTTTTACCTTGAGCAATTCAAATCAGGCTTTTGTTTTCTTGAAAATGAGTTCATCATTATTTTTGTCCTTTTAGTTAAAGTCTTCATCTGCATGTGCTTTCTCTGTTTCCAAGAACCTGAAAGGGAAAGGGACAGGCTTTTCACAAAGCTATCGGTGATCTGGGGAACGACTCTTAATTATAATTATGAAGAATGCTTTTGAAATCTATTGTGCAGAACTCTGCCCAATGCAGTTATGTATGAAGAGAAATCTGGTGGCATTTGTACTCATTCTTTCCATTTGAATCAAGTTCTGACTGGTGAATTCAATACTTAAACCCTTTGCCTTCGGGAGTTTTAACTAAGGTGTATCTCTTCTGAGTTTAGACAGATACAGTGTCCTTTGGATTCATGAAAAGTACACACTACTAGATTTTTTTCCCCCAACATTTCTTAATCCAGCCTATGTATGAAGAGGCCATCTACTCTGAGTGATAAAATCGTTTTATTTCCAGCTTAGGAAAAATAACTTGGGTTTATTGTATTAATATTATGGTTCTCATCATCATCATCTCAGCATTCCCACCTTCAATCTTTCCCCATGGCTGATGTGGGCCATGTGAGGACAGGCAGTGGCCTTAACCAACCTGGCCTTTCCGGCACAGACTAAGGATGCCAGTCCCTATAACATTGTTATGTAAAGAGACCTTTCGCTGCTAGGGTAGACTTGGCAGATAAATGAAAGAGAACTAGACTCATTGGTCTCCCGCCTCGTCCTAAAATATCCACAGAAGCTCGGGGTTGAATAAAGAAGCACCACAAAGGAAAAATAAGTGGAAACTAGAACATATCTGTTCTTCATTACATCAAAGTCTCTTCTGAGTTAATTTCCAGGTTTTGAATTCGTCCCCTACGTAGCAGCCCAAGTGCTCAAGTATAAATCGTGTTGTGTCATGCCCTTGCCGTGCTCAGAACCCTCAACCTCCTCACCAAGGCTGCAAGCCTAGTGTGAGCTGGTGTGTGGCGTCCGCTCCTCCCCGTCCCGCGTGGTGCATTGGCTCGCTTTCTGTTCTGTGACCGTGCTGACCTGACGCCCTACCTGCCTCAGGGCCTTGCGCTTGCTGGTTCCTCTCCCTGGAATACATTTCCTCCACATCTAAGTGTGCCTGGCTCCCTTTTATAATTCAGGGCTGAGCTCAAATGCTGCCTCTGTGGGAACCTTCTCTGACCACTGTATTTAATGAACTCTACCTCGCCCCTAAATCTCACGCAAGTCGCTCTCTATCCCGATACCTAGTTTTATATCTTTCATAGCACTGATGGCTACTGGATGTTATTTTGGTTTTTTTGCCTGCTTATTTTTTTTTCCTGTTTATCATTTGTCCTCCCCCACTGGAATATAAGCTTCATGAAGACAGGGTCTACCTTATGCAAAGTTGCCTCCCCAAAGCCTGGAATACTTCCTTTACTTGGACCTTAAGGCATATTTATGTTGAGCAAATAAAGTAAAAATATATGATATTTAGTATCCTGTAAAATCTTAAAGTCCTGCCTAACATCCATTTCCTAAATTGTCCCTTGAGCTGGAAGGGAAAGCCTAAAGACTTTGTATTGGTATGTGCCAGGGGCAGAGAACCTTTTCATGTTGGAAGGCTGCATTAATTTAGCTGCAATCAAATAAGGCCACATTCAAGAAACTTCAACTAGATATACATAAAAATATACATTTTTTCGTAAAAGTCTAACTACTATGTATTTAATAATTTCAAAAAATGAAAGCTATTTGTTAATTTTGAAGTTACCTTTTAATGACTTTGTTTTGTCCGCTTTTTGTTGGAAAGCACTTGAATGCAGCGTGGAGGTCCGCAGTTTCGGTTGATCCTCTAGCTCCGTGGTCCCCAACCCTGGGGCCATATACTGCCCCCGCTTCCACCTTCTGTGGAAAAGTTGTCTTCCATGAAACTTAGGAAGGGGGGTGGCCCATAGCAGGAGGTGAGTGGTGGGCTGGCGAGGGAAGCTTCATCTGTATTTACAGCCGTTCCCCATTGCTTGCATCACTCCCTGAGCTCTTGCAACCCTGTCCCCTCTCCCCCATCTGTGGGAAAATTGTTTTCCATGAAACCAGTCCCTGGTGCCAAAAAGGTTGGGGACCGCTGATCTCAATGGATATCAATCATTTGTGATCTTAAGGGCATCTTGATTTGGGTTATGAAGGAGAATGTATGTTTCTAGCAATAAGTGGTTGAAAAGCAAGAAAGTTTTTTTCCGTCATATTGCTGAAGGTGTGGGTATTCTACTACATTTTTCCATATTTCAGTTTTCCGTATTTCAACTGGGTCTTTCTTAGCATCAGACAATTGACTTTAAAATGTTGTCTGAGAGCTCAGTCAATTCCATCTGTAGTTTTTTAGGTGTCTTGATGATATCAACTAGGTGAGGCTGAAATGTTAATTTGAGTGTGATGTCATGATTCTCAAAGTCAGTGAACCTTTCATTGTATTCTCCAATTAATAGGTCTACAACAGCTGCATATTCTTCAGATGATTCACATATATCATCCTGCTCATCAGTGACCTTTGCTAACTGGAGAAAATGTTTATCCAAAATTTCTTTAGAAGAAGTGTTGTGAAAAAAGATAGCTTTTTTCAAAATGCTTGGATTTTTTGCCATGTCATATATAGACTTAGTTTTACCTTGCAAAGAAACATTTAAGTCATCTTTATTTGACCTGGTATCACACAGAAATGCTGCATTCCTATAAAATCTTTCAATAATTCACACAGCTCATTCTGTTCTTCGTAAAACTTAACTATCTGTTCTCGCAGAGGTAAAATTTTGGCTAACACCTGTCCCTGCAATAGCTAAGAGCACTTTAGAGTGATATGGCAATCCACACTGAATACCTTATAGTTCAAGCTTAGCATGTTATGAAACTGACCATGCGGTGTTGCATTTGCACAAATATAGTTAACAATACTTGTAACTTGTTGCAAAGTATCACTTAAAATAGTAGCTTTAGCACAGAGATTTTGCTGATGCAAGATACAATGAAAAAAAAAAGAGCATCTGAATCTGTTACTCTGTTACTTTTTTTATCTGTGCAATAAACCCTTCATGTTTTCCTGTCATGGAAGGTGCACTGTCTGTACACACACTCACTAAATTTACCAAATTCAGTCCAACTTCACGACATTTGTCTTGAAAGTTGTTGAAGATATCTGTTCCCTGTGTTGTGTTCGTAAGAGTGCCCAAAGCGAGTAAACTCTTCATAGCAAAGAAAATGTTCTGTTGTGACCGGAATGAAGTATAAAACCTGTGCCAAGTCAGTAGTATCAGTTGATTCATCCAAAATGATTGAATAATGTATGTTCTCCTTTTGAAGTACCTCATGAAATTATTCTGTTAAGTTGAAGACTAATTCATGTGGCCGATCAGTTATGGTTCTCCTTGAAAGAGGCAGTTGTTTGTACTTTGAAATGTTATTAGGGTCCAAGCATCCTACAACTTCGACAACGCATCCTTTCACAATTCCTACATCACCGAATGGCTTCCCCTTTTTATCTGAGTATATAAGCTACTTTATAAGTTGCTTCAGTTGCATTATTTCCAGGTCTTATTGCTGCTTGAAAGAATTGTCTTTGCTTTTGCTTTTCATCTCTTAATTTCTGCGATACAGCCTCTTGTGCCTCTCCCTCTAACTTAAAATATTTGTGGTCTTTATGAGTGTTGTAATGCTCATGAGCACTGAATTTCTTTAATGTTGATATTGCAGTATCACAAAGCAAGCAAATCATCTTATCTTTAGCAGAAACAACAAAATACTGCAATTCCCAATGCTCATTAAGAAAATCTGTTTTCTTCCTTCAGCATTCTCTTGGTCA